TCAAAGAGTTTATAAAAGTTGATATATTACCTAAAGTCTTTCATATTAAAAAAACAATAACAACACATTGCAAGAAAACTAATTGCTAAAAAATATGTTATATTTTTGATGTATTAATAGTATTAAGTCATTTACTCAAAATTCAATAAAATAATAAAGTTCTTACCAGCTGTTGACCAAGTAAGTACTATGTAGCTAAAACATTCATATCCATTATAAATAATTATTAATTTGCTGAAAGAAATATATAACAATTGTTAAAAAATTAGTTTGTTCTTACGAATATTCAACACCTTTATTATAGTTAAGTTCCCCATTGGTTTGATCAAACATAAAGACTTTTGCCAGTGCTATATTATAAAAAGAATATAAACACATTAACTTTTGCTTGGATTATTAAATCAGACATTAGGTTTGTATTTACCAAGAGCTGGACAAAGGAACGTAAGGATAAAAAGCTGTATGACCAATAGTGCCAAGCAAAATGTTCTTATTTTTCCTTTTGACATTTCGCACTTTTCGAAATTCAACGAAATTCAACCGCTGTTGGTTTTTAAGCCCCTTGTTTTATATAAGCATAACAATACATAAATTCATCTTTTAACAATATAAAAATCAAAGATTTTCAAAAATATACAAAAACAACAAAACAAATCGCAAATCCTGATTATATCAATTTTTCTCTTAATTTATCCTGTCTTTTAGATATTTAATAGAATATTTATAATACAGTACAAACCATTCAAAAGCCAAATAAAAATTTTAAAATGTCTGATTAAATGAATAAAGTTTCAAGAAAATTAGCCGCCGTTAAAAAACTGTTTTCGATCCTAAAAATTTGTCCATTTTTATGTAAATATCCAGCTTTAAAAGTTCGGCCAGCATTATTGCAACTCCGAAAATTTCCAACTTACTGAGTTATGAATTATTGAGAAGTGTGACCCTCAGAATATCTTTATAAAAAAATCCGAAGTTAGAATTAATATAAAAAATATGTCGTCCTAATAATGTAGGTAAATGATATGCCATTCAAGTCATTAAAATCATTACTATGCTTCCTGCGCATGCTAATAAAATATTTTTCGAAATAAAAATATTAGAGTACGTATTTTGAGATCTAAAACATTGTATTGAGTACGTAATTTTAACTTTACCAAACTGATTAGTAATCAATTTAAAGCAGAAACTACTTTTATATCAAATCTCTATATCTGATATTGGAAATCAGTAAAAAGATTTACAGAGAAGAGTTTGGACCAGTGTCTGAAATTCAATTTTTAAATTAGTTGCGGGCTGCAACCAAATAAAAAAAACTACTTGCAGATTATAAAAATCTATAAAAATTTAGTTGCGTAATAAACATTTAATCGAAATTTATAGGTAAATTATACAAAGTTATATACGGAATCCGCATAGCACTTCAGATTTTGGTTGCGGAATTTAAAATTTTGTTGCGGACCGCAGACTCCGCAACCCAATTTCAGACACTGGTTTGGACCCGTCAACTGTATATCCGGATGCTATACAAAAAAGGGATATTTAAAAATAAAAACTTTGCTGTATAGGAAGTATTAGGATTCGGTTTTATGTAAAGTAATATAGGAATGTAACATTAGTATTTATTTAAAATTAAATACAGTATATATATTTTTTTGCTACAATAATTTAGAAAATTATCTAGAGATTCGAATTTAAAAGTTAAACTCGAACTAAAAAATAATTTTTAAATTATTTCTATGTTTCTTAAGAAACAAGAACATATGAAAATTTATATTTCATACAAGCTCTGATTAAATTTTAATTCATGATAAAGTTAATTTTTGCGTAATTCTATGAAAAATTCAAATGTTCCAATATATTTTATTTATTAAAAACCTCATTAAAATACAATATACCGTATACTGTATAACGCGATATTTTGAGTATATGCGCGTTATTTAGAGTACGCGTGTTGGCGTTCTTTTGAGACAAAATTTCCCAAACCTATCTTTTATATCACCCTAACTTTAAAAATTCTGAATTCCTATCTTTTGGTACTATTGCAATTAGAGATGGGACTTAAAAATTCACTGACCCGGATAACCGTGAAACCGATAACCCGACCCGAAAAAATTACTATTGTATCAGTTGGCCGACCCCAAAGAATTGTTTGGCAGCTGTTGGGGTATATAATAATATTGATAAAAATTTTGAGGAGGATAATTTTTATAGATTGACTTTTGTTGAGAATTGCATGATACCGTCTTTTTGTGAGAATGGGAAACAGTGATTTTTTGATGAGTGGGTGGTTTTGGAAACTTTTGTTTAAAAATCTTATTTGCTTGTCTTGCGATATTTTCGTAATGCTCAATAACATTATCAGGCTCGTTCCTCCATGAATTAGCTATGGCGGAAGAAATAACTCTCATACTTAAATGATAATTTTCATTATGAAGCTCTTTAATGTATTGCATTCTGTAAATCAGAAACGCATTCGGTGGTTTTGTAGGAATCTGGGATTTTACCTTCTTGGATTTTACCTTCCTTTGCCTTGTAACTAATTCTTCTGGATTGACCATGGGTGGAAAGGGTACCTTAATGACGGGTACTGAAGGTTTGTTTTCTTTATTTGGGGAAAAGGATGATTCATCAATCCAAAAATTATAATTATACATTTTGCCTATAAGGTTTTTTTATAATAAAATAAATCGAATTTCTTTTTAAGAAATGTAAGAAATAAAATTATTTTACTTCAAGAGGAGACGTTTATATTTCATTGTTTATTAAAACTTATTGATAGAGGTAAAAAAAACTTATCGGTAATTGATGCTATTCAAGTACAAATTAAGCCAAAAATAAGAAGGCAAGAATTATTAAATCTAATAAATACATTTCTATTATCTCATTTCATTTATTTGTGTATGTGAAAAATACAAATTTCTATTCGCTTATGTTTATTTTTAACTGAATTTCAAAACCAACTTAAACATCGCTTTTTTAATTAATCCAAATCTAGGTGTCAATATATTAGTATTACAATCATTCTTTGTGCAGCTTTACACAATTTTTGTTAATAACTATATGATTACTAATTTGTTCATTACAATTCATATTTTTAGCGCTAATATTTAAAAACTACTAATTAGAGATTTTCAAGAAATAACTAAACTTTTTAATTATGCAGATCAATATATATAACTTGAACCTTTGCTTTCGTTCAAATTACTTTACATAATTTGCATTATTTTTATTATTTAATATGAAATATTGTTTCTTTCAATACGAATTACCCAATGAAGTTATGATATATATCTTTAAATATGTTAGAAATCCTATGAATTTAATAATAAGTTGCAAAATATGGTCATTTATTTGTAAAGACTCTCAAGCAAAGGCAGAATGGAGTATTTTTCAATTCGGGAGGGCTCATTGTCTTTTTCATGCTATTAAGCTAGGACCCACATTTATCTCTGTTGCAGTCGCTCGAAATATTATTACTAAAGGTGGAATCCTTTCGAGATACTTTGTTCAGCGCCTTTTTATTCACTATGGTAATTACGACACAAAACTTATCGAATTAAAGATCGCACATAGTGTAGGACAAGCCGATATAGACAGAACGAGGACTTTACAACAAAAAATAATTCCATGGGCAAGTAATTTGCCTCTCACCGTTTATCTGTTTTTATTAACAGAAGCTTCTAATCTATTCAACGCTGATTTGTACTTGAAAGGCAATGATATGGAGCTCTTTCACTTTCTTTCTGGAGGTCCTCATACCATTAATTATGCACCAAGAAAAGAATTATAATGAAATCAAGGATCTAATATTATGCAAAAAATTTGTACCATTTCAGCCAAGAAATAACGATGCGCAAAATAATTCAGAGGAGTATCCCCCGAAGGACGGACATGAAAATAACCGCCAACTCAATGTAATTGCGAGATCAATCTTGATCCGTAAAGACCTAGTACTTCTGTGGAAAGAAATTGGTTATTTTGAAAGAAAAAATCTATTTGTAACAGCCTGTTAATGTTAGAGTTAGGGTTAGGGTTAGGTTAGGTTTAGAGTTAGTATCAAGATTAATACAAAATTGCGAGAGGATTATTTTTCATTAGTATATCTGAAGCAAGTTTGCTAGTAAAATTTTGTATTATAAAGGATTTTAGGTATAGGCTGTTACGTAACAGGCTGTTACGAATAGATTTATCCATTTTGAAATATGTGAGGATGTTAATGATTTTGTGATACAAGGATCACTTTTAATTCTATTTCCACCAGAGCAACCACCAGAATGGACCAAACCTGAGACCAAAGTCGTTAAAGATAGACTTACAGAGTTGATTGAACTAGGGTTTCATTTAAATTATAGTATCATATATTCCATCTTCTTGAAAGTCGATTATTCTCATTAAAATTATATATATGGAAATGACAAGAAAAAAAGATATCAAACATTTTGATTTTATTCTAATTGTACTCTAAAACTACAAGTAAATTATTTTGGCATTTTTATGAACAAATTGATATGTATTTAAGAAAATTAAATCAAGGAATATAGTTTAGGGACCTTCTATTTTTGATTCCGGAATGGGTTCCTCGTGGCCAAGAATTACAGAGTGCTAGTTGGCGAGAGAGGTAGAAGAGGAAGAATGATTTGGGGTGTTACAGTAGATTCAGTATATACTTTACTTTACAGAGAAGTTACGTAATATCGGTTTCGTATACCAAATTCGGACATAATAGCAATCAAATTCGGACCGATATTATCAAGAAGAGAAAAACAGAAATTTTCAAATAAATCAAAATATCTTAGCAACCACCGGACCAAATTTGTCAAATTTTTTTTTTATTTGAATTCTATGAATCTTAGAATTCAAATAAAAAAATTTATCGAGTTTGGTTAGGTGGGTTGGGCGGTTGTGGAGATAACTTCATTCAAAGTTAGAGAAAAATCACTATCAAAATAAAAGCTACGCCAATTTGAGCGAAGATATTTCCACAACCACTGTAACCGGTTTTTTTTTTATTTGAATTTTATAAATTTAAAGAATTCAAATTTATTGAATCTTTTGATTTCGATCTTTGAAAATCTGGAAAACATTTCTGAACTGAAATTGAATTAATTTCGTAATTGCTGGAAAAATAATATACCCATAACGACTTTATTTGATAATTTGTTCGCTTTCAAATAGTGAACTACGTGCTATTGTCATCTAAATTATGGATCCTTTATCGTTGCCATTTAAAATTTCATTTAGCTAGGCCACACCAACCTAATTCTTTGTTTAGCCCTCTATTTATTAAAATTTAATAACACCAGTGATAGCAATATAAATTTGATTATTTATTCCCTTTTTACAAATATTTGTTAAACAAATAAATTTGCTATGGTATGATTTAGTAAGAATGAGCTTATTATTTTCAATCGTAACTAATAAATATATATTCTTGCTTCATAACGATAATGGTAAATTCGATTGACATCCATATTTGGCTTCGAATGCAATAACTTTAATTTTACGTAACGCAGTGTAGATCTCAATCATAACTGAAAATTTTTGAATAAAAATTAACATATTAAATATAGGTGAGTTTGAGAGGTTCTTCTAAACTATATTTTTTTTAAAAATGAAAACAAGACTAGTCTTTGATAAATTTAATGGAGAGTCAAATAAATCTTTAGGAAAAAGATTTGAACTATTTTGTGTTGATTTGTTGAAAAATGAATTCTTACCTTGGGG